CCAGCATCACACTGTCCCCCCTCCCACTGACACCTCCCCTCCTGCTCTTTTCCTCATTGTCTCCACTTGGCTCCCTGGCATTTGTCTCTCCTCCACCCTGTTCCTTGGTGCTTTCCCCTTTCTTCTCCTGACCTGCCCCCCTCCCCTCAGCACAGGCCTCTTCCTCTCCCACCCCTGCCTATTTCCCCCCTCTCCCTTTCCCTTTCCCTTACTTTAGGCTAAGCCGGATTCTGCCTTCCAGCTTGCCGGGCTGGAGTTAGAGCCAGCCCAAGCTACAGGCCATCCGGGCCCTAGCCTGGGGTGCCTCACTTTAAGGGGCACCACGTGGGGTTGCTGGGCTGGGCGGGGCCAAGGACGAGGCCCCGGGTGCAGAATGGGTGCCGCGCAGTGCTGCTGGGATTGGCGGGGCCAGGGCCGGGGCCGCGGCCCCAGGGGCAGAAAGAGCACCGCGCATTGCTGCCGGGCTGGGGCCGCAGCCAAAGCTGAGGATGGGGCCAGGGCTGGGGTTGGGCCTGCAGCCCCAGGGCCAGAAGGGACACCGTGTGGTGCTGCTGGGCCAGAGCCAAGGCTGGAGCTGGAACCCCGGTCCTGGACGCAGAAGGGGTGCTGTGTAGTGCCTCCGGGCCGGGCGGGGGCGCCCTCAGCTGCAGAAAGGGTGCCACGCAGTGCTGCAGGGCAGGACTCGGGGTGTAAAAATGGCTCGGGCTGGCATCTTTGGTCCGGCCCCAGCTGTTTCCGCCATGCACACACGCTCTCTTCCTCAAAGTGCCCCGTAGATGGCCACGGGGAAAGTGACGGGCTGTGTTACCTCGTCTCAAATCTCCCTCCTCCTCCAGCAGCTGCTAGCCAGCCCAAGACATTAGGGTGTGCCTGGGCACACCCGGCACACCCTGTGCACATGCCTGTGTCCATCAATGGCTATTAGGCAGGATGGGTCGGAATGGTGTCCCTAGCATCTGTTTCTCTGGAAGTGGGTGACAGGGGAGGGATCACTTGAGGATTACCTTTTGTGTCCCCTCCCTCTGGGGCATCTGGCATTGGCCACTATCAGCAGACAAGATACTGGGCTGGATGGACCGTTGGTCTGACCCAGCATGGCTGTTCTTATGTTCTTATGCATCGACTATTCAATGAGTCAATTACTTGCAATTTAACATCCCTAGTCTGGGCTGACGTAATTATCTCTGGCAGTAGTCTCCAACCTTTTAAAGCATGAGATCCCCTTTATGAATTGAAGTGCAATCCAGGATCTATGTCAAACCCAAACCCAGTTGCCCCACCTCTTTCCCGCCCCTTCTCCGAGGCCTCGCCTCTGTTCACTCCATCCTCCCACATTCTCACTCAGTTTTATCAGTCTGGGGGCAAAGGGTTGGAGTGTGGGGGAGGGGATGCAGGCTCTGGTCTTGGGCTAAAGGATTTGGAGTGTGGGAGGGGCTCTGAGCTGAGCCTGGGGCGGGGAGTTGAGGTGCAGGACAGGGTTCAGGGTGTAGGCTGTGGGAGGGAGTTTGGGTGCAGAGGTACTCAGGGCAGAGGTTTGGGGGGCAGGAGGGGTTCAGAACTGGGCCTGGAGTTCAGAATATAGGTGGCTGAGCACTGCTTACCACAGGTGGCTACTGGGTGGTGGTGCAGGGGGCTAAGGCTGGCTGGCTCACCCCTCCCCTGGCCCTGCACCACTCCCAAAAGCAGCCAGCAAACTCTTGGCATCCCTGCCACTCTGTGTAGATGGGGTACAGGATGGGGGGAAAGGCACCCTGACAACAGCACCCCCTCCTTTTCTTCCCGTGCCCTGCACATCAGGCAGGAGTCTCCTGGGGGAGGAAGGGCAGATCCAAGGCAGAGGGCGGGAGCAGCATGGCAGTGCTGAGAGGAGCAGATGAAGTACCGGCACTTGATAACATACCAAACCTGTCAGGATCAGCTGTCATAGGTTCCATGATCTACCAGTAGATCCTGATCTACTGGTTGGTGACCACTGATCTATGGGACCTTCCTTTCTCTTGTGAAAGCTGAGGGCTTCCTGTGCTAGGTTCCAGGTGACTACTAAACCCGAATGAGTTGTCTGTGTCTCATTCTGTCCCACTTGGACATGCTGGGCAGAGCCCAAGGCAGGAAGCTAGAGGGCTGGAGACCAGAGGTTCACTCCTGAGAGGTGGTGAGGCTCTGGAGCCTGCCCTGAAGGACAACCAAGCCCCCCCTCCTGGTGGGAAGCTCACACCTTGTCAAGACACATCAGTACGGTGAGCCACCCAGACAGGTTATACTTGGGCACGTATAATAGGCTAACAGGGACAGTTGGATTTCTGGGCTTGAAAGAGAAATGAGTCACTGTGGCATTGCACTGTTCAGATTCCTTCAGATTGGTCAATGGGAAACCATCGCAGGCCAGTGACTATATGTTCTGGCTGGGCCCAGAAGAACCTGGGTGTTTGACCTTCAGGGGAAGAGGCAACTTGGCTTTCTTAGCTAGGGCAGTAACTATTGCAAAGGCCATCCTGGTGAGCCGGAATCCTCCTTATGTCTTGCAACCATTCTTTCTTGGTGCTTGTGAAAAACCCCTCAGTTCTTCCTTATGTGAGCCATCTGTGCTCTTGTTAGGAGGGCTCATGGATGGGGTTCAAGAATGTGTGGAGGGGGAGTTAAGTGAAATGGGTAAACTGAGGCACACTGCCCCTTTTGGGAGGGGAAGATGTGGAATGCCTGTGAATTGCCAGAGTATGGGGATTGGACAGCACAGGGGAGAGATTTAGGGGACTTGGAGACTGGCTGCTTATGATGGTCCATGAGGAGACATGATGACAGCTATCCATGGATCTCAGAGATCCCCTGTGCCCACAGACATTGGACGGCTCTGTTGAGCGCTAATGAATGTTTTCTTAGTCAAAGTCCCCCCAGGGGTTAATTAAGGCCGGCTCTGCTGCCTCTGGGGACAGGTTTCTGTGGTTCATCTTCACACAGGGGTAGCTATTCCTCTGCAGATGCTGAGGGCAGGAAGGAGCCAAGCGTGCTTGTCCAAGGTGAGGCTTGGTATCAGGGAGTGTGTTGGGGGCACCGCAGGGGAGAGGCTGGGATGGCAATGCCGTCTGGATGGGGCCATGTTGGGGCAGGGCCCAGCACAGCTGGGGAAGCAGGACAGCAGGCAAAAACCCCACATCTCCTGTGCTCCTCTGTCCCTCTGGTATCTGGCTCTGAACAGAAAGTCGCTCCCCACCCACGATCACCTCAGACAGTCCCTCACCCAGCCTGTCTCCACCATCTGCAGCCTCATGTGTTGCTTGTCTAGCCAGGTGCTTTGACAGTGCCTGGAGAAGGGCCCCAGGCACCAGTGGGTCCCCACTCAGACTAAATTCTGTCTCCACTCTTCATCCTTTGTGGGAATGGGGATCTCCGGACTATCAGCGTCTGTCTCCCTTCCACAGGAGCTTCAATTTCCAGTGGAGACCAGTTCTCCACAGTGTCAGGGGCTCTAACCGAGAGCTTGCAGTGCGGACGTGTGTTGTGCCCAGCCCCCTGAAAAAGACCCTGCAAAATGGAGCATTTTTCTCCAACATTTCCCGGATTTGTCATGGAGAGAAGGGGCCATTTCCTGCTATATCCTCTGGCAACTGTATTGAATTCTGGTGAATTCTCTTTGGGGTCCTTCGCATTCCCTGCAAAGGCTCCGGATTACTGGGGTCTGGGATGACATGGAAGGTTTCCAAGGGGGCCAGTGGGATGGATTGCATTATAGCCAGATGTTGAAGACAGACAAAATCGGCATGGAAACAAAGGCATAAATTTATAACCAGGGACCTAATTAGTGACAGTCACAATCTACCAATGGGTGTGGTAGATTCACCACCCCTGACTTTTCTCAGCCAAGACGGTGTGTTTGCTTAAAAGAGCTGTTCCAGAAATGAAATGAGGGAAGAGCTCTAGTTTTGGCTCCCAGCCTTTCCGGATGACTGGACCCCTTTCAGGAGTCTGATTTGTTTTGCCTCCTTGTGTAAGTTTCCCCTCACTTCCCAATGACTTGCTTAGGAAATCCCAAGGAATGATACGAAGATGTCTCCTTTGTACCAAATAACTATAAAATGAACCATTTGAAATGTGACTGTCACACTAACACATCAGGGCATGGCAAGTAAAGCCGCAAGCCCCATGTCAGTATGAAATGTCAGTCTGGACTGACTTTCCTAGTGCATTGTATGGAGCTTATGGTATGAGGCTTTAAATATCTCACCTGGTGGGGAACTTCTGACTTGTAAAGGTAGAAATTTGTTTGAAGGAAAGATGGAGTTGGAGGAGGAAAATCTCGGCCCAGTGTTGGTCATCAAAGATGTCTCATGAACTATGTGTGAGTGTTTGAGTGTGAGTTGAAAGGAGGGTCTCTGGTGTAGAAATGGCCAGACTGGGTCAAAACAACTCTCCCCCCCCAATTCAGAATCCATTTCTGAGCTGAGCAAATGCCACAATGTTTAAGAACCTGCAGAAGCAGGTGGGGATCTGCCCTCTCCCCATTGCAATTTCTTACTGACCATTAGTGATTCATAACAGCCCGTATCATGAGGTTTAATATCCTTCCCCCAATCATTTCTTTGTTTGAGTGATATTCCTCATATCTTTGGAAATGTCCATTCCCTCATTTAATTTTGATAAGTTTTAGCCTGGACATCTTCCTGAGGCAATGAGTTCCCCAGTTCCTGAATGTGTGACTATGTCTTTGGTTCATTTTTGAATGTAATGTCATGGGCTGTTCGCTTGTTGCTATGCCAGGTGACAGGGAGGACACAATCCCCCAAGCTTTTTTCTCTGTCCCATTTTCATCACATCATACTCCGTCTTACACTTTATAGACCACTCAGCTCTCTATCCTCTCTGCACAGGAGACTTTTCTGGAGGACAACATGTTCCCGATCCCCTGCTCAGGCCACATTTCCCATGAGGCGTTGTGGAGGGGCAGGGCTGCAGGCAGGACCCAGATGCTGACGAAGGGCTGTGAGTGTGTTTCCAAACTGGTACCAAGTCCCCTCTTAGCTGGCTGTTCAATGAACTGAGCAAACCAAGCTCCTCTGGTCTCTCAGGTAGGTTTTTCAGATGTCCTGCATCCCTGCTGTCACAGCCGCTGTGTCTAGCTGCCGTTTCCAGCCACTGCCTCAGGTCAGACCATTCTCTGCTAGACCCAAGAGTCACTGTGTAATTTTGTTCCCCATGTTGGTACCTCTAGCCTGGGATCGAGTCGCCCTTTCACTTTCTCTTTGTCCCACTAATTAGCTTGAGTGCCTGGCATTTCTCATGATCAGACAGGTTTTCTGATCCTTCAGGCATTGCTGGGGCTCTGGTATGAATCCTCTCCACTTGACCAACCCCTCACTGCCCACTCCTTTCTCTTCCCCACTCAGGAGCTGCCACGGCCCCTTGCCATGGATGAGGGCAACTGGACATCCATCTCTGAGTTTGTACTCCTGGGTCTGTCCAAAGAGCAGGACCTGCTGATCATCGTGGTGCTCCTGGTCACATATCTGGTGAGCCTGGCCGGCAACTCCCTGCTGCTGGGGCTGGTGGTGACTGACCCCCAGCTCTGCAGCCCCATGTATTTTCTCCTCGGCCACCTGGCTGTGGTGGACATGAGCTTCACTTCCATCTCCCTGCCTCAGGCCCTGGTGCACGCTCTGACCCAGCACCGGGCCATCTCCTTCACCAGCTGCATGGCCCAGCTCTTCATGTTCTTCTCTGTGGGCAACATGGAGAACTACCTGCTGGCTGCCATGGCCTACGACCGCTACGTGGCCGTCTGCGACCCGCTGCGCTACGCCGCCGTGGTGACACGGTCCCTGTGCCTCAAGATGGTGGCTGCTTCATGGGCCGTGGTGATTCCACACGCCCTGCTGTACACTGTCATGGCCGCCAAGCTGAGCTACTGCGGCAACCGCCTGCAGCATTTCTTCTGTGACCTGCCGCCCCTCCTGCTCCTCTCCTGCACCCGGCCCCTCACCATTGAACTGGTGCTCTCCACTGAGGGTGTCTTGGTGGCACTAGGCCCTTTTGCCTTCATCCTGGCCTCCTATGTCCGCATTGGGGTTGCTGTGGCCCGCCTGCGCTCTGCCCAAGGCCTGCGCAAGGCCCTCTCCACCTGCGGCTCCCACCTGACCATGGTATTGCTCACGTTCAGCATCATAATCTGGCTCTATTTCCGCCCAGACTCCAGTGACACTGAGGGGCACGACCAGCAAGTGTCCTTCTTGGACACTGCGTTGGTGCCCACCCTGAACCCCATCGTCTACAGTCTTAGAAACAGGGATGTGGCCGCAGCCCTGAGAAGGGCAGGGAGGAAGGTTCTGGCTTGGGGCATGTGAGTCCAGCCATGGCTCCATCGCTTTACTGGGCATGGACTTTCTACCCAAGATGTGTCTGAAGAACCTTCCTCCTTAGCTTCTCCTGGACACCTGGGTTCTTTTCCCCTCAGACAGGAGGCTGGTGAAACTAACACGTCGGTAGGGTCACGCCCACGTACACACACACACAAGTACACACAGCTGAAGTCTTTCCATGGAAAAAGAGATAAATTCAGACATGTTCTCAAGGGCATGGCCATGTGGGATCAGCCCCAAGGCCTGTTGTATAATTGTTCTTAGTACCCATGGGCCCAAACACTCAACGATCTCAACATACCAATGGACCCCCTCCCAGGATCCTGTCCACTGAAGCTGGCCAATACCAGGTGCCCCCTAGGGAATGAACAGAACAGGGAATCATCAAGTGATCCATCCTTTATTGCCTGTTCCCAACTTCCGGCAAATAGTGACACCATCCCTGCCCATCCTGGCTAAGGACCATTGATGGACCTGTCCTCCATGAACATATCTAGTTTGTTTTTGAACCCTGTAATGATCTTGACTTTCAGAACGTCCTCTAACAAGGAATTCCACAAGCTGACTCTGTGTTGGGTGTCCAGGACAGACAGGATCACTTGCTGGGGGAAGGTTCAGTAAGGCAAGGCAAAGCATGTCAGAAAGCCCGTAGAGAGCAATTCCACTTTTGCCACCACATTCCTAGGTATCATCTGGAAGCAATGGGCAGTGTGTAACAACATTTTATTAAGTTTACTAGTTCTGGGACCATGTTGTGTATTTTCTAACTATATATTTTAGATACGTGCACCTGTCTGTCTGTCTATAGTGCTGTATTTTGTGACTCTGACAATTTGTGCTTTAATGGCTATTAGGCTATAGCCTTTTGAATCAAAATGTCGAGTGTCGTTAAGAAACAACTGTCTGACTCTTCCATAATTTCTTGCAACTGTGAAAGTGTAAATAAATGAAATAATTAAAAAATGTGCAAACCCCCACATTATTGCAAGTGAGTGAAAATTCAACAGGGATTAGAACCTTTTAAAATGATTCCCACTGGTTTTGTATGTTTGGTAATTTAACTGGAGAGAGGTTAACTCTGGGGGCCAGAGAATGAGATGGGGCCTCTCCCTTCTGGGGGAAATTGGCTCTAATTTGGCCCCAGAGCATGGACTTGCTGACTCAGGAAGGCGAGACATGGGCCACAGCTTGGAGAGGTCATTGGGTGAATGTCTGGTTAATTACCCCAAACTTCCACTCCAACCCATCAACCAGTTAGAGGAGGGATCTGGGGGCAAAATTGGCAGGGGGCAGGCTTCCGTTCAGGGCTGAGAGGCAGACCCAATTATCCAGCAGGGGTATGGGCCACTGCAGGGACAATGGGAGCCCCCCATGGAATATAGATCCACTTCCTTATGAAGAGGGATTGAGTGAACCCATGAGTCCTGGCTCCCAGCCCTTCTCTGCTCTAACTCACTATTCCCCTCTTTCCTCTCAGTTCTGTGGATAGAATCAGAAGTCCTGCCTCCCAGCCCGTTAACTCACTAGCTCCCACAGACCCAGCTAGATCCCAGAAGTCTCACTCCCCCACCACAAGTCTCCTGCTCAGCCACTGGGTATTAACCCTACCCCTAGGCAATGAGGCTCTATCTAGCTGTTTTCTGGGTCCCTCTAAAACCAGAGAAATCATCCTGGGTATATCTACACTACCCCGCTAGTTCGAACTAGCGGGGTAATGTAGGCATACCGCACTTGAAAATGAAGCCCGGGATTTGAATTTCCCGGGCTTCATTTGCATAAGCCGGGCGCCGCCATTTTTAAATCCCGGCTAGTTCGAACCCTGTGCCGCGCGGCTACACGCAGCACGGAGTAGCTAGTTAGGATTAGGCTTCCTAATCCGAACTAGCTGTACTCCTCATTCCACAAGGAGTACAGCTAGTTCAGATTAGAAGCCTAATCCAAACTAGTTACTCCGTGCCACGTGTAGCCGCGCAGCACGGGTTCAAACTAGCCGGGATTTAAAAATGGCGGCGCCCGGCTTATGCAAATGAAGCCCGGGAAATTCAAATCCCGGGCTTCATTTGCAAGTGCGGTATGTCTACATTACCACCCGTTCGAACTAGGGTGGTAGTGTAGACATACCCTCAGTGATTTGGGGTAGAGAAGTAACATACAAGTCAGTCAAACAACAAAGAAAATTGTGTTACAGAAATTCATCGTGTGGGCTTAAAACCAAGACCCAGCTGGGCCACATCGGATAAGTCAAGGTAAGGAGAGAAAGGATCCAAAGATCTGATGGTGACTGCCGCTTGAAAGGTGCTCAGGACCTGCAACCTGTGGGCCCCACAGCGCCTTTGGAGAGGACAGCTGAGGAGTCCTTCTATGTTATTCAGGGAGAGAAGAGAGCTGCAGATAGTTCAGGGAGCTAGATGAGCTGATGGGGAAGGGTGGGGTGTCTGTTCCTTTACCCTCACAGGCGCTGTTGGGGAGGAGTTTCAGAGTAGACCCGCACTCTTGCTGCCTCTGGGGCTGACAGCCAAGTCTGGCGTCGCTCACGGGCTTATATGGGCTTTTTGGCGGGAAACCTGAGGGGAGCGGAACTCTCGCCAAGGCGGGAAAATCTGGTTGGAACCGGTTCCCCAACGGCCTTTAAGTGTTCCAGAGGGGGAGGGCAAAGGCCAAGATGGAGCCCAGGGTGTCAAAAGGGACCGACTCCATTTCCTTTTACATAAAAATCACTGTTTTAATATTAAGATAGTTAACATATAGTCATAAGCACTCAACACGATTTTATATATATATTCTAAATTAGCATTCCAAATTAACTAACAGAGGGAGGCAGGTTAAGGTCACTGGGAAAGTCCAGGTGTTGTGCAAATTGCTCCTCCCCATTCCCTAGGGCTAGGACCTGGTGCTGAGGGGGAATATCTGACTCAGGGAGAACAGAACTTGCGAACAGGCTTGGTGCCCCCAAGACAATGTGTGTCCTGCAGGTCACAAGCTTGTCACTGTCTCTCCAGCTTGGGACCATTTTCCATGTTGGACTGGTCCCATCCTCCCAGAGCCCCTGATCCTGGCACCACCCTCTCTCGAATGTCTTTGGTGGGAAGCAGGAGGTGACTGCAAGGACCGCCACCCCAAGTATCTCAGTGCCCATAGCAAGAGCCGAGTCATTGGTCAGCCTCCTGTTTCTCTAGGAAGGGGCCAGAGACTCATCTCTGCTATGTTTACACTACAGAGTTTTTTCAGAAAAACTTATACTTTTTTTTAAAGAATAGCGTACTGTATAAAAAAGGTTGAAAAACACTGGTCTACAGCATTAACCTACAAGCTTTTGCTTATTAGTTAACCGGTTAATCGACTGCACTACTACATCCCTCGTCCAGGGGGCAGAGTGTGGATTTGAGGTCTGTAGGATTTCGTTGCTCTGCGCTCTGGCCCCTAACGACCTGTCTCCTCTCCAGGCTGTCGGGTAGCCGGGTGGATCAGGGTGCCGGGATGTGAGTATCTGTGAAGAACGGGGCAGCTGGGGAATTTCCACATTAAGGACGAGGGATGTGGGTGGGGGCAAGGGGCACAGATCTACCCAGGGATGATCCTACCAGACCTTGGCTGCCTCCCACATCTGGAAGCTGAGACCTCGCTCCACTCATTGCAGGGATGGGCACCACAACAAGGGTATGTCTACACTACCCCGCTAGTTCGAACTAGCGGGGTAGTGTAGACATACCCCAAGTGAATTAACCTGCACCCAAACCTCTGCCCCCAGGAAACACAGAGATCCTGCCCCCATGTCACTTTTTCCCTGGAGGACCTGCTCCCGGGCCACCTTTTCCCACCAGGGCCCTACCCTCCACTCACTGCTCTCCATACCCTCTTCCCCGCTAACTGCTGGTAAAACATGGGGAGTCCCATGGTTTCCAGCCCTCCTGTTCTGCTGCCCTGGGACAGAGAGAGATGAGAGGGGATAGATTAGCTAGAAGAGGGGATGGGCTGTATTCTGTAGGGTGCCCAATGTCCCCTTTCCACTTCTGAAGTTGACACCCCTCCTCCCTTTCTCTCCCCAGATTATACCCGGGGGAACATCATCCATCTGGCCCTGGGCACCAGGGTCCTGCTGGCCCTGATCTTGGCCGAGGTTGCCCACAGCTGGAGGAGAGACAGACACTAAGTGAGGTGACTCCCCTCCAGGCCTCTGCCCTCAAACCTGGACACACCTAAAGAATGAGGGCTGACACCTAAGGGCTGCCAGCAGGGAGCACAGGGATAGGATGCTGGCCAGGTGACCTGCTGCAGCCAAGAAGAGACCAGGAAGGATGTATAAAGAGGCCATGTGGTGGACTCCATCTTGGTACTCAACTCAGCACTTCATCCCAGAGGCAGTAGTGCAGGGATCGAAGGGCCGGAAAGAATTGTGGACCCATCCTGATCCTAGGATGTGCAACAAGGACTTTTAAGCTAGCAGCTGTAACATCTCTGCTAGAGTCTGCATCGAGAACTGGGAGATTCAATGCATGTAATGTACTATCCTTTAAAAACCTTACTCTCATGCTTTTCTTTCTTGTGGTAATAAACCTTTAGATGGTAGATTCTAAAGGATTGGCTCAGCGTGATTTGTGGGTAAGGTCCAGAGGGTGAATTGACCAGGGATCTGTGGCTGGTTTCTTGGAACCGGACAGAATTTGTTCGGGGTAGGTGGGATTGGGTGCTAAGACTCCCCACCTGTGTATGAGGCCCGGGTCCATCTGGGGCACGGATATTGCTGGGGTGTCGGAGGGGTTTTGCTTGTGAGGCTTCAGGCAGGCTGCTGAAGGCCCTGTGGGACTGGTTTGTGGCCTGTTTGGAGAGGTCACCAGTCCAGGGGCTGTAAGGAGCCCCGAAGTTGATCAATTTGCCCTGAGCGGATGCCCTCAGCTGTGCCCAGACATGGCCCAGGCTGTCACACATGGCTGTGGGATTTCCTGTCCCACTGAGGCTCACCCCTCCTGACCTGTGAGAGTGTGACC